CATGAAACAAAATTAAGAAACTTCTGGAATGTGCTGCTTCCTGATCTGTAGACCTGAGGAACTCCATATGGTCTTGCAAATAACTGAACAACATTGATTCAATGATTCAAAGAATGGCATAGATGAACCTCAGGAACAGGTATACTTTGAAACCGTAAGATGTTCAGATAATTGAAGTTAGAAGAAACTTAAGGAGGTTGTCTAGTCCAAATTTCCATATGCAAGACCTCACAATTCCTAAAGTTTTGTGTAGTATCAGAAATGAATCCAGGAAAAAAAAAATACATTCGCATATATTAAAAAGTCTTAGTTTGTTTTACAGCTGGAATGTGCTATGGATTTAGCACGTCTCAGAGGGAATACTTTTTCTTGAGTCTTACTGAACAAATGAAATTCTACTCTGGCTCATTAACAGAGAAACCAAAATGAATGGCAATAATCCAGATGTCTGCTGTAGTCCCATTTGAGAATGTTGTTTATATTAACCCAGTTAGTATGTAAAATGTTTGGGTTTTAATTACGGCTTAAGAACGTAAACTGTTTTAAACAGAGGTGAGTGAAGTCATCCAGGTAAACATGCCAATACGAAGAACAGGTCCCCAGATTAAACCAAGAAGCATTATGAAAAATGATTGATTAAAGATTTTTCAAATTTTTTTCCTGAGCCTCCACGCTCATTTTCTGTGCAAGTGAAGTGTCCAGTACCACGCAGACTATTTATTCCTATAGCATTCTCCAGATGAACAGAAGCAAATAATGAAAGTCTGCAAAACAAATACAAAGAGCATCACTTTATCTGAGCTGCTGTGCAGTGCTAATTTTCTCCTACAGTCAAGGCCAGTGCAGCTCAGAAAAATAGAAGGCACTCCCATACTCTGTGTTGGAGTCGTGGTTTAAACGGACATATGTGTTTGTAAAGAAGTTTATTTGGTCCAGACCTCTAGCTCCTTTGATGCTGGTATATCACTCATTCAAAAAAAACAACAGCAGTCTTTGCTCAGTTCACATCCTCAGGTGGCAATGCTGCAGAAAAGTTGATTTAAGGAAGGTTTGTATTTCTTTGGGTTTGCTGGGTATCCTTGTCCCCTTAATTCACTGTGGAGTACATTTGAAGAACTTGTATTAACTTGATTTGTACCAGGTCTAACTGGCAACCTGTACCTGTTGTACATTGGACTTCCCACAGAAGCAGCTCTCGAGAGTGGGGCTGAACTGTCTGGGACATGGTAGAACTCAGCGTCTCCAGAGGGCACAGTGGTGTCAGAGCAATTCCTCCAATTCAATACTTGTTCCCATTATAAATCTGGTTTATAAAATGGCTTCCAAATGCTTGTACTTCTTAAAACTGAATTATTATTTCATATTTCAAGTGAGCAGACCTTGTTCTTTTATTATAGTGAACTAATTACAGGGTTATTAGAGTATTAGAGCTCATAGTCTTCTAGCCAGATAATATTAGTTGCTTGACTGAGCACCAGTGTTATCGTTGAATAATGTTGAGATGGTTTGCCCACAATCATCCAGTAACTCCTATCTACAGAGATTCAGCCCAGTGGTCTATTCACTAAACCATGTAACTTTTCGTAATTTCCTCATTACTTTTGCCAGATTTTAGCTACTTGGCCTGGAATTTTCCTTGTGTAGTATCTGCCTGAAGCAGTAAGTGTTTTCTCTTTCCAGGAACAAGATCAAGAAACGTGCATTGCTTTTCCTATGTAGATTTTAAAGTAATAAAATAATTACTCTTACAAGCCCTGTGAGAGCTCTGGGATATAGAGGTATTGTTGAAATCCAGGAGAGAATCTTCCTTGAGTCATGGACATATTTTCATTCTTCTTCCCCCCACCTAGATATTTCCAGGTTATAATTCCACCCACCCCCTCCCTCCCGCTCCCCCCCGATATGCCAGTTGTTACAAGTTTCAAACAACCACATGCAGAGTTTGGTCCCTAAATGCTTTTCAGTTTTCTTCTGCTGTAGGTTTGCAGTTTCAGAGCTGTAAGAAAGAAGGAACCTGACCTGCAATTTTGGGAGATGCTGATAAATAGACACTAAAGATAGTGTGAGGGCTCTTTGGTGCCAAAGAGGATTCCTGTGCAACAGAACAAAAACTGGACATGAGGAAAGAGGATAGTAAGGATTAGAGGAATAGGAAAGTGGTGGGAATGGGAAGGGAATCTGGGAAGTGACAGTTGAGAATGGAGAAAAAAACCCCGTTAGTTAAATGTGTACATGCAGGGAGACTGGGACTTAGGAGTGAAGAAGCTGAGAGTGAAAGAAGGAAACAAAATGGGAGGAGACTTGGGTTTGCTAGGCCATGGAGGATTGGACATCTCAACTTTTGAGGTGAGTCTAGGAGGCAGGGGATGATAGGAATAAAACTGCAGCCAAGGTGGAAGCGTGGGAAGAGGGAACAAGTTCGTACAGTGAAGAAACTGGGATAAGCTGGGAATGTGGAGTGGGTGTGAAGAGAGAAGACTATGCTCTGTTCAGAATGGAAGAGTCAGTTCTGATCACTAAAGGAGAGTTGCCAAATGTTGTTCAAAACAAAAACCTGGAACAAAATTTGTAATTCTAGTGGAATCTAACCACTGCAGGCACAGTAGAGATGCAGGTTTTATGACATATTATTTTTCCTCATAATCACCACCTTCAAACTTTTCAGTTACACTGGCAATAATTACTCCCCTTCCTTGTTCCCCTCTGGGGCTCATAGTTTTCTTAACTTCCCTTTTGCTTGTAGCCTACTCTGCTCTGCAGGTGCCAGCAATTCTTGTCTTTCAGACTGTCTTTTAGAGCATAGTTCAGTTGAATTCAGAACAGTTGTTCATAATCCATACCTCTGTTAGGAGAGCTGAAAAGAATTTGTATGCATTAAGTTGGTCTCCTTTTTTTTTTTTTTTTTTTCCTTCCTTAACGACAAAAATTGTTCTTACGAAGTTATTACTGAGCCTCACAAATTTCACTTTGCAAGAAATAGTTGTTCCTCTGAGTGCTTTCAGTGTTGTTTGCAGCTTTGGTTTTGCACAGTGTGGACAACAGAGTGAGATTTTTCATGTTTTCTGCTGTTTTGTGAGATCGAATGGGGGAGGTTGGTATGATGATGATTGTTATTATTATTTCTCTTGGGAATATATTAAAAGATAGAACATGGATAAATGGAGCCTCAAGGGTGACTCGTGTTTTTGTTTAGCTTGAACTAGGTCCAGCTTTTAAGAGGAACTTGATTTTTAGGTGCATGTTTTTGCAAAGTGTTTTAAACTGAAGTTATAATTCCAGAGGTCTCAATAACATGTGCTTGTTTTTATTTAGGAGCATGTGTAAGGAATGTTTTTGGTGGGTGAATGTAAAATAAATAAAACTATCTAAATCTGGAGGTTGCAATTCTTTGACATATTCAGTGTCAGCAAAAATCAAGGGGAAGAATGTTACTTAGGGAATGGACTCAGTTAATTTATATTATTTAGTTTGTGAAGAACAGTCTATGCTCAGTTGCGAGATGCGAAAGTATCATTTCTTAAGTAGTGTTTGCTTTTTACTTTGTTGTAAATGTTTCTGCATGTTTGGAAGGTGGCTAAAATTTGTTTTCAGCATGGGCCATTGCCTGCTTTTCTTCGGAAAACACAAATCAGAAAGTACTTTTCTTCAAAATAACATGCTGTTACCATATTAATTGTCACTCAGTGTGACATCTTCCTGCCACTGCTTCTGTAATGTTGTTCAAGGTGTGGTTCTAATTTTTTTTGCCATTATAAATTCTCAGTAAACATTGTTTAGAACTCAGGTTTTGCTAAAAAAAAAACAAAAACAAAAACAAACCAAAAAAAAAAAGCCAAAAAACCAAACAACCCAAACCCGACAAAACCTTGCTCTCATGTGCAATGTGATTATCTCAGCTTGTGAGTATTTTGAAATTTGTCTGCAAAGTGATTGATTATATTCATTTATAGATTGTTAGGGGAATGCAGCAAAGTCAGGGCTTCACTGTTTTTTTGTTTATTTTAGGGGATTTGATCTTATGTCTTATAACTGACTGTTCACCGAGAAAGCAGTATTAGTACTTTATTCATAAAGTTGTATTTTACATTTTGAACATAATAGATAAGGTTAGAGTAAGAATGTAATAGTGTCATATATTTGAAAATGTAGCTTAATGGGTATTTCTAATAACTGTACTTTAATGGAAAGGAATTTCAACATTTGAACTTATTTTGCAAGTCGAACAAGAAATGCCTCTCTGGTAACTTAGAGAGCATGGATGCTTTCACCCTAGTCAGCTGCGTACTGGGGGCACACACTTTATCTGCGTATCTGTGTGTATTGCAGTATACTCAGGTATCTGTAAAACACAAGACAAATAAGAGTCAAATTTTCAAAATAAGGAGTATTTATTATATTGCCTGCTTAGAAAGATTTTTCCCTATGTGTCATGACCTGAATGAGACAGCTGTAGAATTTGGCCGAGCGGAACTGCAGCAGTGTGTACAATGGCTTTGTTGGTCATTTTAGCAGAGGTATGGCAGACGTACGTAGGGAGCTGAGATGTACACAAGAGAAAAATGTTGATGAGAGACACTAAATTTAAAAATGCGTTATTTTAGGATTTTGTTGAGCTTTGTTCTATAGTAAAACTTAGGAATGTTTTACTGCTCCAGTATAAGTGTGCATCTTTCACTTGCAAGTTCTTCACTGAAATTCTTTAGATGATTTAAAAGTTTTACATACAAAACTTCAGAGTGAGTAAGATTCTCCTACCTGCGAGAGATGAGACGAATCTGACCACGCGATTCTTACTAAAATCAACAGGCATTATATGATTTGATCCACAGTCCCTATCATGCAATGTCCCTGGTGCAAATTTCATCATATGATGAGTGATTGTGTTCCTTCTACTGATCTGTTGCTGGGTTTGAATGATAAGGATGTTGCAGAGTTAACGCTTGGACTATATGTTATGCAATACATTTTTGTACTAATTGTGAGATGTGTTTTACTTGCAGGGATATTAAACCAGACAACATTTTGATGGATATGAATGGACATATTCGATTAGCAGATTTTGGTTCTTGTCTGAAACTGATGGAAGATGGAACGGTAAATTAGAAAGAATAATATATTCCTAAACACCTTTTCTTCAGCCCTTTGCTAGCTGCTAAAATGTGTGCTAAGAGAAAAGGTGCCCTATGTCAAACAAAGTGGAATTGTAATGGTATTGGTATGTAACTAACCTCAGTTCAAAATATGACTGCGCTTTGCTTGGTTTTGCTGTATAGTAAAAGCTTTTTAGATGCATATAGTCAACTCATGAATAAAAGAAGAGAAGCTGCACTTTCAGTACCAAGTAGGCATTTGTTGATGAACTATGAATCTCTCGGTTTTGAGCTCTGAGCTCTAATCTTGATTGAAAATGTAAGCCCTAGTATAAGCAGGATGAGATACAATTAGCATATAATCATATTTTAGTAGTATATTTAAACATGCACAGTATATATAGTAAGTGTGACTAGAATGTATTTCCAGTGTGTTAATCATATCCGAGAGTGTTACAAAGTATTTGACTTAATATATGTGATTACCTAATCTATAATTACTTAATAACAACTCTTAAGCCTAAGAACTGACAGTTTTGTTCTTTCTCTGTTGTTAAATATTTGTAAGAGTTGAGCAGAAGTATGTTATTGGGATGCCTATTAAGGTGGTACCTTGGATGCTTATATATTTCTTTATGAATTTAGAAGCTTTTTTGTTGTGTTTAGTTGTTATTGTTACAACCAGACCACCAGACTAAATTTATATATGCATGCACAGTGCCAGTGCCACAAACAGCAGTGTCTGTAACAATGGAAGTTGATTTTAGTCCTGGAAATGTAACTTCTGCAGGTCCAATCTTCAGTGGCAGTTGGAACACCAGACTACATCTCTCCAGAAATCTTGCAGGCCATGGAAGATGGAAAAGGGAAGTATGGGCCCGAGTGTGACTGGTGGTCCCTAGGCGTTTGCATGTATGAAATGCTTTATGGAGAAACGCCCTTTTATGCTGAATCCTTGGTGGAGACCTATGGGAAAATAATGAACCACAAAGTTAGTGCACTTTCTCTTTCTGTGTCTCTCTAAGCTAATTTTTAATAAGGGTAATAGGGTAACTCAGAAGCTTATTTGAAAATTAGTTTCTATGTACTATTTGTGTTGATGTTCATAAACATAGAACAAAAAATATGTTTCCTTATAGTAAGTTTATGGTTATGGATTGCAGATGGCTTTGCTTTAGGATAAAGCAGTTCAAAACTAAAAATCTGGATTCGGAAACATGGCTGTTAGTTCACTTTATGGAGTAAATCTTGGCTGCATTACATCACTCCTTTTGTGTTACTTTCTTCTGGCGGGATCCACTGGTTGGCTTATGCAGAAGATTCTTAAATGTTCTTCCACATGGAGGTAGCTGTAGAATTAAACAGAGTAAGAGAAATTTAAATAAAGAAGAAAAACTAGGAGAGAAAACAATTCCAATAGTTTCTATCCTTTGGGGAAGTCTTTTTGCTAGAAACCTTACTGCATATATTTAAGAACCAGAGTATTTGCACATCTCTTTTTCTACATAATAATTTTCACTATGAAGGCTGATGTTTCCAACTTTTTCTTGGTAATAAATTATTTTCTTATTTTAATCTTTAAGGAGAGGTTTCAGTTTCCTGCTCAAGTGACAGATGTCTCTGAAAGTGCAAAGGACCTCATCAGAAGGCTCATTTGTAGCAGAGAACATCGACTTGGACAAAATGGGATAGAGGACTTTAAGAACCATCCATTTTTTGCTGGGATTGATTGGGACAACATTAGAAACTGTGAGGCACCTTACATCCCAGAAGTCAGCAGCCCCACTGATACATCAAACTTTGATGTGGATGATGATTGCTTAAAAAATTCTGTAAGTATAGAATTAACATCTTGACAAATCTGCTTTTGTAGTTTATTTTACAACAAAATATGTGTAAATGGCAGTTTGTTTCAGTGTGTTCACTGTGTTCTGCATAAACAACAAAGTGCTACTTTGAAGAGCTGGGCAGGGGAATACGTTCATAGTTCGGAGGCTGTTCCTCCAAACATGTATGTGTAAAGATAACTTCATTTCAGTTTTGTAAATTCATTGTAACTTTACATGTGTTTAACTAACACAGATGTCTGCTATTTGCGGTAGCAAGTGTGTCCAGGTCTTAAAAAGAATAGTATTTTTACATGTAGATAGTCTGCAAAACACAGTATTTCTAGTAGAGCATTGTTGAGACTTGTACTGAGTTTTCATAATGCATTTTATTGTGGTGCTCTATTCTAATTGCTCATATCTTTGTCAGATTCCATTCAGTTTGTTCCCACTAAAATTTTTCCAGTTTGTTTTCTGACTTGAGTTTTGGGAAATTTCGGAGAAATGTTACAGCCATTTCTTCAGGAACAATCTTAGTGAGAAAGAAATTATTTTGCCTTTGCTTAAAAAGCTTTGCAACTACTGATTTTTGACAACCTTAGTGTTTCTGTGCTTTTGAATGGGAACTTTGACAGATGATAGAGGTCTTAGCATCAGAGGAATGCCTTGTGTTGCCTCCTTGGAAGTACTTTTTTTTTGGTGTTTGTTACAAGATGCAGAAACCTTCTGTTTACATGCCAGGTGAAGCATTTTCACCATTTTTGCTTTTGTTTTCTGAACTGTCTGTGCATCTCAGTTCCACTGAGCTTCCTGTACCTGCAGATACATGATAGACAACGTGAATTGATATAGGCAGGATGATCATTATTTGCATTCCCTTTCCTCCAACTGCACAGTAAAACATGGAATGCATTTTGATTGGAAATACAGTGGTAGACATATGTGGTGTGGAGCATTAGGTTTCAGAGTCCTTTCACATAGGAAAATAAAGCAAATCAGTCTAGCTGCATAGGACAACTTGCATTTTTTTTCCATTTTTTCCTCAGTTTTTCTTTACTTGCATCTGGTATTGACCATTCCTCTTCACAACTAACATATTTTTATCTTAAAACTTTTTTTTTCTATAGTCTTCAGATACCTATTTGCACATTATTTTGTTCAGGATCAGCTGCCAGGGTTGTGTGGCAGGAATTGGATGCTGTGTGTAGCAAGTCTTTGTGAAGCCATGTTTGTGAAGCTGGAATACCTTTTGGCAGTTATTCACACATCCTGTTGTTGGCCAGTCCAGGGGTATGGCTTTTTAGAGCCTAATCTCCCAACCGAAGCACTCAGAAGGTGCCTGGGCGGTGTGAATGTTTTCCCATTGTAAAGAAGCAGGGAGCTGCAGGTGAAGAAAGAATTCTCCTGTCATGAGTTATTGGACTCAGTTGTGAAAACAGAGTCCGATTCTTAATTTGCTTTAGACTTTGGGGGGGTGAAAAGCAATGCCATTGAACTGTTTGAGATGAACACTAGTTTCTGGAGCTTCATTTTCAATTTCCTCATTTGAAACATGTGAAGGTAGTTTTTTGTTTTGTTTAATTCAAGGTTATATTTTTACCTTTTTTTTTTTTTTTTTGCACCTAGCATCTCGGAAAAAAAACTAGCCTGAGGCATTGCGTGACTGAGGATATTTTACATTTTTGCTTCAGCTAGTGGACATTTTATTTAATATTGCTTCCCCTCAAATACTTGTATGTAACTTGGAGGTGTTTTCCCTGCCGCCTTTCATACACATCTTGTGAGGGAAGTTCACATACTTGCATTACTATACAGAGGTCAGCACCACAGATAAGCCCATGAGACTTTTTTTTTTCTTTTAAATTCTTTGCAAGGTTTGAATGGCATACAGCAAATGAGGAATGCCCAGTGCTGAAGATAAAAGGCAATGTTGAAAAGCCATGATTATTATTGTTCTGCCTGAACTTGGAATGAGACTGTGGTCCCATGGAAAAATTATATATGAAATAATGAAATTCAAACACTACGTTGAAAGTACACATAAACACAAAGGGCAAAACAGTGTTATTAGGCAGCCTAAGCTCTGCAGGTCGTTAGCTTTTAATTGTTTGGTTTTGTAGCCTTAATGATAGGCATGATAGATGTAGATTCAGTTATCATTTTGTCAGTATGATAATACAGTTAAATTCACACAAGTAGCAGGAAATAAGTACTTCGATCTCTGCCAAAGAATCAGCAAAGAAACAAATTCTTTTATAGACTTTTAAATCATTATCAATAGATGGTATTTTAGAACCAACACTGTTACCTGTATGGTAACTGAAAACTGCCTGTTTTAATGGGCTCTTAAAAATCACACAGTTATGCATTTGGCCTTTTTAAAAGTTATTTGTAAACATAGTTTTGAACCTTGAATCCATGAAATGAAAAGAAAATACAAAGCAGTAAAGAATTTTACTTTTCCTGACCGTAATGTTTAATAATTGATATTTTTATTATCAATTAGTGGAAAGTTAAGGCTTTGTAATTTGGTCTCATTGTTAGTTTCCAAAATGCACAACAATGTAAACTTGGTGTACTTACACAATCTAGCTATGTCATTGGTGTTGCTTTTTATTTTGGGAACTCTTTTTCAATGTGAAAATTTTTGTCTACTAAAAAGTCAAGGTTGTGATGTAATATAGCGGATGCCACCACTGAAAAGGTAATTTTGGATTTCTTTTTAATACAGGTTTGTTCTCTCCTGTTGGGTTTTACATGTAAAAATGTACAACTGGTGCCTTTTTTTTTTTTTGCTTGTTTGAAAAAAATAATTATGTTACCTTTCCTTAAAATTTAGAACCTTTTAACACTTTGAGTGTGATAATCATCATCTTACGGAGTTTCTTTTGATGACCATTAAGGCCATCACTGGTATAGCAAGAAAAACCTTGCAACTTGGGGTTAAACAGGAAACTTTTAACAGGATATTTAAGAATATATAGAACTTATAATGGTTCAAATAATACAGCAACAGGGTTGGTTCAAATAATACAGCAACAGGGTTACTTTAGCCTGAGGAGAAGCTCAAAGATTTATCTTGGGTTTTAGTTCTTTGTCTGGCAGGAAAAAGGAGCAATGAAGAAAGAAATGGTCAAGGCACTAATGGGATTAGAAACCCTTGTTGTATTACTTCTTTCTAGTAAATGTCTGACTGTTGTTCTCTCCAAATAGAGATAGCCCGCTCAGAAGTGGGGTTGGTAAATCTACAGGCAGGAAGCCCTGCTGACTAAATAGCAGAGTGGAGTACAGGAGGGAATAAAAGGTGGTATTCTTTGTACTAAGAGCGTCTTGGAAAAAAGTAGGAATAAACTGGCTTCTAATGTGTGTAATATTCTGCTTTCCTCCAACGATAGCCTATTTAATTAGAAAAGCATTTTTGTGCCAGCGTGCTGTATTTTTGTATATTGCATGCTATTATAAATAGATTTAGGTGATGCCGTTTCATATTTGGGCTATAGATAAGGATGACTGTGAATATAGTTAACATGATATTATCACTAACACTTCACATATGGCTAAACTCAGAAATCTTTTTAAGTCCAGTAGGATATTACTTACGCAACTGTCCTATTATTCTTCTAGGAAACAATGCCTCCACCATCACACACTGCATTTTCTGGCCATCATTTACCATTTGTGGGTTTCACATATACAAGTAGCTGGTAAGTTTAAGAGTTCCAAAATTGTCTATAGGACAGTTACATAATCTCTTAAGCTTCTGTCTCTGAAACCAACTGCAAACATATACCAAAGAATGTGGTTTATTGAGGAAATTACTAGGCCGTAATCTAAAATGCTGTCTGTCCAAAAGAATGAGCTCTCTGCAGGTAAAATTTACATGAATTTATAGGTCAGCGCCTGTGTTCAGAGGAATTTTGTTGAGAAAGGTGGTTTTCAGACAACGTATGAAGTTAACTGCATATGACAAAATTAAGACCAGATGTGTGGACTCGGAGAGAACGTACTTACTAGACTTTAAAAACAGTTTTATTTCTAGTCCTTTGACACTCTTATAAGACTGAATGGAAATTTTAAAAAAATTACTTTTATTGATATTTGGTATTAATGTGGTATTTGTCATGTTAATTTCTACTGCTAAATTAAACAGTAACAAGGAAATCAATGTATGCTCCTTCATCATTTATGAAAACAAATAAACTAAGAATGTTTACAACCATTGAAAAACCAGGCCTATGTTTCTGCAAACACATGTGTTTAATGCTGGTTATGTCACGTGTCCTGTAGACTTCAGAAGGATTGCTTGCATGAGTAGTAGCCTGTGTGATAATTTCATGTGATAATTTCACACCATTTGTTGTGATTGTTGTTTTCAAAGTGTTTGGGAAACTTCATTAGTTATTTTAAAATAAACTGTTATTGTAATCTTGCTAACTATCTAGATTGTTGCTTTTTCCTATCTAGCTTAAGTAGGCTGTTCATAATGATAATTTTTAATCAGGAGTTCATTCACTTTTATGTAACAAAAATGCATTGAGGAGATCAGTCATGCTAGGTAAAAATTCAATTTTTAATGAGCACATACTACCAAGGTATTGTTTGACTGTATAATAAATTACAGAGTAATTAACAATTTAAACAACTATTTATTGCTTGATATAATTTTTAAAAAAATTTTTTAAACACAGCCTGTTGTAAAATCCAATATTTTTAAATTTTTTACCCCCAGTGTGCTTTCAGACCGCAGCTGTCTAAGACTGACAGCTGGACCACCATCCATGGATCTCGATGCCAGCATTCAAAGAACTTTGGAGGATAGTTTAGCAACAGAAGCTTATGAGAGGAGAATAAGACGTCTAGAACAGGAAAAACTTGAACTTAGTAGAAAACTGCAAGGTATAGTAATTAAAAAAATCATTCAATCACCTTTTTGACTTAGATTAGCTTGCAGCTTTGTAAGGTATGGTTTACACTGTGGGGGAAAAAAAAAATTCCGCCTGGAATGCTTTCTAGCACAAAAGAATTCTCTTCATTATTTCAGTTGACAGATTAAACTTCTGTTACTCTTTATGCCTGAAATATCCCACGTATGGAACTTCTTATAACATGCTAACTTTGTTCACAACATGTCTTGGTTACTATGGCATAAAGATTTCATTCTTAAAACCTCTATGAACTTAGTTTGTCCAGCTGACAGTTAGTGAAAAATTGGCACTTAGTAGTTGGAAGTTACAAATTGTAGAATCCTCAGTGGAGGGGCTTTTTGGCATGTGTTAATTTATCAGTGATACCTTTTCAACCTCTTCAGATGTCAGGCCTGTAACTTGTCCCTGTCTCTTCCATCTTTTCCTAGAGTCCACCCAGACAGTCCAGGCTCTGCAGTATTCAACGGTGGATGGCCCTATAACAGCAAGCAAAGATTTAGAAATTAAAAGTTTGAAAGAAGAAATCGAAAAGTTGAAGAAACAGGTAACAGGTATGTTGTTAATGTAAAAACTGTGACAGGAAGCAATATTTTGACAATTTTCTCATAATGTAATGTTGGTTTCACTTTGCTTTCTAAAAGAGTCTTCCAGTCTATTTTTACTTCTCATTTTATGCTTTGCTCTTCACTGATAGCTCAATATTCTCTGCATATTCAACTTAATGTTCAGTATGTCAGTAATTCCAGTTGCAAGGGAGAAGGAAGATTTGAGTGACTTCTGCTATTATTAATAGTGGTAAAGTTCCACTAGTTTTAAATTGCAGTGTTGCTAATTTATGTGGATATGAATCAGGCTCTACCTGAGAATCTGTGAAACCATGACCAATTTCCTTAGTGTACTACCCTTTTCCCCTACCACCACCCCTTTTTCCTTCGTCCTGCAACGTGTACTGCAAGAGCAGATGGAGCATTTCTTCAGTTATTTTTGTCAGTATCAAAAGTCACTGCAGTCCTTTCAGAAGTCATATTCCCTATAGCATACCTTAGTATTCCTTGATTTGTACATCTCTGCACTCTGGTATGCAGGTACATAGGTAGTAAACTGGCAGGAAGGAAGGTGGTGTTTCTTGTTTATGTGAGTAAACATGAAGGGTGAAGACTTTAGCCTAGCAGTTTCAGTAGTCTTAAAAATATTTAATGGAAGGGTGATTTGTTATGATTTAAACATCGATGGCTATTTTTCATGATCTCATTTTCTGTTGAATGTTGCTTGGAAGGGCCAAATTTGTGAGATGTGATCACAATTTTGATTGTATTTATATTTTCTTTGAAACCACAGTGGTTTATAGTGGGCTATTGCTTAGTGCATTGTAACTGGATGTGGAGTAAAGGCTAGTACAAACTGGACATGTGGTTTTCTGAGTATTTTCTTGGAAGAGCACTTTTAGAAAAGTGTGGGTTATGTGGGAGGTGGGCTGTGTGCACAAAGCTAGAGTGATACTGAGTTTTCCAAGTGTCAGGGAGTAAGTGAAGGGTGTTTTCCATGAGAGAGGACGCTATGGGCTGTAACGCTGCAGCTCCATGAGCAGCAGAAATGACCAAACAAAACTCTGCCATCAAAATGGGTCCTGCTTGCAGCTATGTGGCCCCTCCTTTCTCTGTGCATGCCCTGGACTCTCTCTTGAGTTTAATTGACTCAATTAAACAAGGAAAGAACTATCTAGATACAGAGAATTTAGTCAACTCATAGTCTGATAAATCAGCACAAGGTGGGCAATAGGAGCATACGAGGAATGGGAGATAAGAGGGGGAAGAACCAGCTCTCAGCTCTGCTGTCAACGAGCTATCACTTCTTACAAAACTGAACTTTCCATTTAATTCCTTTGCTTCTGAGAGTTCATGAAGATTTTATGATAACTAAAGATTTGGCTATCAAGTATCTCAGTATTTTGAAGTTTGAAAAGTGTTTTTGAAATCTGTGCAGCTAGAGAGCTGATTTTCTTTAATTAATGTCATACTGTCTTTCTTTAGAAGTCCCAAACTAGTCGAAAAGGAAAGATCTACTTAACCCTGTGTTTTTGCAGAGGCTACTGGAAACTTAGGGAAAGATTTAAGGAAATTCAATATATCCAAATCCATCTTTTTCCAGCCTTGCTCTCCCAGATTCTGGCAATTCATGTTTTAAGAAATTCCAGGGGAGAGCTTCTATTGTACCACGATGTTGAGTATAGCTGTTAGAGAACCAATTTGCTGTCCTTTTAGCTAATAATCTTTTTGCCCTACTTTAAAGGCAAGCTGCTAATACTGAGTATTCTTGATTTGATGCTCTGAATGAAGCAGAATTTTTTTCTCGTAGTGATTCATAGCATAAGACTTCTGCTATCCTGCTCCATAGTGGTTTCTTCAAAATAGGATCTTGAGAGCGGAGATACCTTCAAAGAGAAAGAAGGGAATTACAGCAAGATGTTTTTTGTTTAGGAAAATTAGAAAGATTGATCGATACTGTTAGGTATCAGAACTAGAACTCATAGAAACAGGGAGGACAAATCTGATTCCTCTTGTCAATCAAAATAGGAAAATGTCTGCATTTTATGTGAGAGAAATCAGACACAAGTAGCAGTAGATGAATCTCTTATTATATGTCCAGTATCTTACCTGCGGCAAGGGAAAAAACCCAGTGAGAAAGGTTGGAGGAAACTACCAAAAGGATTTGTTCTGGTT